AAAACAAAGGCACGAAAAGACGTCCACTGAAAACACGAGTCCACTGAAAACACGAGTCCACTGAAAACATGAGTCCACTGAAAACACGAGTCCACTGAAAACATGAGTCCACTGAAAACACGAGTCCACTGAAAACATGAGTCCACTGAAAACACGAGTCCACTGAAAACACGAGTCCACTGAAAACACGAGTCCACTGACCACATGAGTCCACTGACCAAAGCAGCCCCTGCCCGGTTTGGAGGTGGCACTGAAGCCATTTCTACACCAGAACGAGCTGATGTTCTGCTCCTGCATGGAAACCCCACTTTAAGGCAAACATGGCACATTTATCCCTCTGCTCCAGTATTCATGACTGCGTCAGTCCACAAAGCATGCAGAGGACATGCAGACTAGGAAAACTAGACCAAGATGCTGCAGAATCAGTCTGTTAGGCTGTTATACACCGGACGTGCTTTGGGAAGCAAAAGAGCTCCTACTGCTTCATCTTTGGTGCTTCTGCTGCTCCTGTGTTCAATGGCAGAGCGGCTTTGCTATATGTGCTGTCATCAGTGGATAGAAGGTGGTTTGAAAATGTTTTTAAGTGAGAAAGTCCACCTTAAAACATGGTCTGTGCTGTGTGCTCCTCCAGATTACCATCCTGCCTTCAATTATTATTTCTCCCCCTCATACCGGCGCTGCGCTGTCATTGGGAATCTCCAGCAGCAGCTGCCTCGTCACCTCTTGGGGGTTTCCCCTACTGTTGGTGGGGGCTGGAAGTAGATGTCAGTTTTTTAAGGTATGTGTTGCAAACTGCAGGAATCAGGATAATAAAAACCAACATATTTTGCTGTCAGGTTTCTAGATTTTAATTAAATTTAGACATTAATAAAGGAGTGATCATAGCGCTCAGCATCAGCAGTGCTGTGTCTGTCTCCCTGCCAGCTCCCAGATCAGCTTCTCTGATTGGTTGATGTGGCGTGTCCAGCATCTGAAGTTTTTCCAGCTCCAGCAGCTGCTGCCGCGCCTCAGATGCTGAGAAGCTCGTGAGGCGCTGCTTCAGCTGCTCTAGATGCTGCAGGACCCTTCAATTCGCCTTGATGCGCATCAACCAATGTCTTTACATGTAAACCGGCTGCTTCTGCTGCTTCTATCGGTAGCATTAGTCTCTGCTTCCTCCATCTACGGTGAAACACAGCAGATAACCAGCAGGAGTCTGTCTGGGAGGGCTTATAGCTTCTCTGTTAGCCCATATCATGTAGGTACCACTGACAGCACAGGTTTTCTTGGTTGGTCTACTGGGAATAATGGTATTGATGTTAAAGTTGGGGAGTGTTGGCCTAGTGGTTAGAGCGGTGTGCTTATGCTCTGAGAAAGTATCAGGTACCCGGTTTGATCCCTTAGCAAAACCCTTGCCCCCACACGGCTCCCCGGGTGCTGCACAATGTCAGCCCACTGCTCCCCAAGGGGATGGGTTACATGCAGAGAGAAAGTTCCCCACTGAGGGACAATAAAGGGATTTAGATGACAAGATGAAGCACATTGTGATCAGACAAACCTCTACAGAGCAACTTTTTACACTGAAATCAGCCAAAGTTTGATTATTAGGATGATAACATGACAGACTTTGCTCACCAGCAACTTCAACGATGTCTCCTGGAACGATGTCTCTGGCTCTGACTCTCTGCACGCTCTTCTTGTCCTGTCTGTACACCTTGCCCATCTCGGGTTCATACTCCTTCAACGCTTCGATGGCATTCTCTGCATTTCTTTCCTGATGGACACAGAAAGTATCTGAAATATCTTTGCTTTATCTGCGTTTAACAGCTATATCCCGAAGTTCATAAACAAAGCAAAACCATGCAGGCTGGATGTGTTTCCACAGCATTTAAGATAATCCAGCAACTCATTCAGAAAACGTTATTAATCCCAAAGTGATGCTCAAAGTACAGGGATGGAAATGAACCAGTGAGGACACCTGTGGAATGAACACTGTCCTGTCAGAGCCGGCAGGAAGGAAGGAGGTGGAGCCAGTTTGCTTCCAACAGCAGAGGACGCCTCAGAGCTTTCCATAATCCTTTGTGTGACAGGAAGAGCTAGCCTCACGCCGTTTAACAGAATAATTATTAGTTCCCTGCTGATGTTCAAGCCTTCATGCTCTCTGGGTTTTATATTAGAGAACCTCAGCTCTTCTTTACATTTATGTAACATTTTTAGAAAGCTGGAGTCCCAATCTGAACCCATTTTTTATTCGAGTCTGTTTTCTGTAAGAATGCGTTCTGCTCTCTGCTTTTTCTCATAGTAGCTTCATCTGGTCTGTTCCTGTTTGGCTGTGACTCCATCCTGGAGAGAAATATCAGCTGTGCTGCTGCCATCAACACCTTTATTTCTAGATGTTGGAGATCAGTCTGTTTTCCAGTGTAGTCCTGTTTCTCTGACTGTGACTAACTGGATGTGCTCTCTTCATCCTCTGACATGGGAGCTGGCTCGGAGCTCGTCTGCCTGGCTGTGTGTTTATTTAAATAACTTGAAGGAGTTTCCTCATTTATGCTCACATAATCCTCTTGCTGCAGCCAGGTTTCTGTAAGGCAACATAAGTCAATGTGATTATCACAAATCAAGTCATTAACTAGCAGACTTTTAGAGGAAAGAGATCTTATGATAAATAAACCACAACCTTATTCCTTTACTGTTTTCCCCAATTGAGTTATTCTAATTTTAATTAGATTATCATGATTTACTCCTTTGGGAATATTTGCTAATTTATTAGATTTTGGCCGTGGGCAAGACACTGTCTGGATGGAGAAAAGAGTGGGTAACAGTAGAGAAGCTGCAGAGATGTGTGTTAAACTACAACTCTGCTTCCTGGTCTGCACCCTGGGGGGTCAGGGTTTTAGAGGACTAATAAATGTGGCCAGATTCCTAGAAAGAAGAGCTGCACCATTCAAAGTGGGATGGATGCCGTCTCTCCGAATCAGACCAGGCTTTCCCCAAAAGGATTGCCAATTATTAATGTAGCCCACGTTGTTTTCAGGGCACCACCTAGACAACCAGCGGTTGAATGACGACATGCGGCTAAACATGTCATCACTGGTCAGATCAGGGAGGGGACCAGAGAAAATTACGGAGTCCGTAAACTTACACACCGAAGCAACACAAATTTTAGTGACCTCCGATCGGCGTAACCGGGTGTCATTACCATCAGCGTGAATAACAATCTTACTGTATTTAACCTTATCCTTAGCCAGTAGTTTCAGGTAGGATTTGATGTCGCACATTCTGGCCCCCGGCAAACATTTGACTATGGTCCCTGGTGTCTCTAATGCCACGTTTCTGACTCAGCTGAAAACATAAATGTTAGCCACCAGTTCTATTTTCAGCTGACCCTGTCTGCTCTGCTGCACCTTTAGAAGCAATTCCCTCTTTAAAGTCTGGTTCTGGATGATGATTTCTGATCATATCAGTCGCTGTGATTTCATCTGTAGCTTCAGGACTCAGGCTGTTTCCAGCAGCTTTTAGCTCTAATCCAGCTGTTTTAGACTCTTTAGCCAATTAACAGGTTTTTCCTCTAAATGTTGGACCAGTAATGACATTTCAGAGCAGATCATGGTGAAAGCTGATGTTTCCTCACTGATTCCCAGCTGCCTGAAGCCATTGACATCTACAAGTCCAGACTCTAACATTTCTTAGTGTTAGTACTGAGCTCCATGTGACAGACATACTGCCTACAGCTACAATGTAGACGGATGCTAACCTGCCACACGCCAACTATAGCATTAGCAATGAGGATCAGAAGGATGACGAATGGTTCGACGAAGGCAGTGATGGTCCCGTCTCCTTCTTCAAACCACGCCAGCGTCTGCAGAGCAGAGAGCAGCCGTTAGAAATGTGCTTCCTGTACTGAAACATGTAGAAATCAACTGATATCATTCACTATTGGAGACAGGAAGGTCAGAGGCTCAGCTGGGAACCCGACCCGCTCCAGATGTTTCTAAAACCCTCAGTATCACAGTCTCAGATCAACATCAGGACCATCTGCCTGCTAGTGTTGGTCTGTGTGACTCATCAGTCCCTCAGCTGACCTGTTGCTCCAGCGTGTCCTTGGGGTCCAGGAGACGCTCGGTCTGTGAAACATCTAGTAGTCCATCTGACCTGCAGGACCTTCAAAAAGTCCTACATGTACGCAGAGGTGTCAAGTAACAAAGTACAAATACTTCATGTCCTTACTAATGAAGAAATATTCACTATCTTTACTGCAGTAATAATTTTTTAGACAACTTTTTACTTCTACCAATTACATTTTAAAAAATAGACTCATTAGTTTTCTTCCATTTAAGCTCAGTCTCTTCCAGACAATTAACTTTTTTGTGGTTGGACTGGGTGCTGCCCCCACTTGTTGCTAACCACAGACCAAAATAAATAGTTTTTCAAGATGAAAGTCAAAGTTAAACTTGACACCATTAGTTATAAAATTAGGAAAATGACATCTAAGGAAGTTATCATCCAGAATTGTAGAAAATGTTCCTTTAATAGAGCAGAGCAGTGAAACTCCTGTACGTAACATTTTATCCTGCATTACTTTGACTTTTATACTTTAAGAAGTTTTAAAAATGTACTTTTTCACTTTTACTGGAGTAAAAAGCTGAAGTTGATCCTCTAACTTCTACAAACGTGTTTTTAATCAGCAGGATTTCTACTGGAGGGATAAACATGAATACTTCTGAGACCTCTGGCTGTAGGAGAAAAACCTTCCTCAGAATATTCACCATTAACTGGAACAACTTGGAGACTATAAGGGTTGAATTAGCAACAGTCTGTCCACATGCTAAGGTAGCTTAACCTGCGTTACATCAGGTGTCCTCTGTCCCTGTGTTTGCGATCTAGCGCACAGAAAGGTCCAAAGTACAGATATTTATACACAGATGTTCTAATTAAATGCTATTTTTAGTTCTGAGTAAACAAGCAATTGTGGTATTTCCTTACAAAAGAGATGCAGGCAGCCAGCAGCAGAATTCGAACCAACAGATCTTCAAACTGTTCCAGGACCAGCTCCCACAGAGACTTCCCTGCAGAGAGACAGAGCAAAGAACCTGAGGGGACAGGAGACACACAGAGGGACAGGAGAGAGACAGAGGGACTGAGAGGACAGGAGACACAAAGAGGGACAGGAGACTCACAGAGAGGGACAGGAGAAACAAAGAGGGACAGGAGACCCACAGAGGGACTGAGAGGACAGGAGAGACACAGAGGGACAGGAGACCCACAGAGAGGGACAGGAGAAACACAGAGGGACAGGAGACCCACAGAGGGACTGAGAGGACAGGAGGGACACAGAGGGACAGGAGACCCACAGAGAGGGACAGGAGAAACACAGAGAGACAGGAGACCCACAGAGGGACTGAGAGGACAGGAGGGACACAGAGGGACTGAGAGGACAGGAGGGACACAGAGGGACTGTTAGATTACCTTCCTCTGCAGGCAGCTCTGTAGGTGAAAGAGAAATAAATAATCAACAGTTCTGCTAACAAGTAGCATCATTAGATAAACTGCTTTGGGGTCAATTCTGGGTGAAAAGTGGAGAATATTTCCCCCAAAATATAAATGTTAGAAGAATTGAAAATGTGATGATGTCTCCATGAAGGCTGGTGTTTCTGTACCGTTGGGGCCCCATCTCTCTCTGTTCTTCTTCAGCTGCTCGCAGCTCAGACCTGTAGATTCGTTCACGCTGAAGAAGACCAGAACCTCCTCCACTGTTTTGGTATGAGCGTTTTCCATGGCTGCAGGAGGACAAACACGCAGCACTCTCAGCTGATCAATCAACAAAGATCACCTGGATTATTCTCTCTTTTCTTCGCATCAGACCTGCTCCTGTTGGCGTCTCGCTGATAGACCCAGTCTACCATCACCCACATGAGTAGGGGCGGAGCTAAAGGGGGGCAGGGGTGGCCATGGCCGCCAATCTGGCCAATCAGTGCCCTGATCTTAGTAAAGGTAATAATTTTAAATGAAGACTTCTGTGTTTCTCCGTATCATGCCTGTTAGCAGGGCCAGATTTAGGAAATCTGGGGCCCTCGGCAAAGACTGGCAGGGGCCCCTATGAATTGAATAAACAATACATAGAACAGACCCATTCTCCAGATATAGAAATGTTAATAGAATAGACATCCATTATCTGTTCTAGGTTGTGTCCCTCTCTTCTTGTCCCTTTTCTTCTTGTTTTCCTCTCTATGTTTTGTACTCAGCTGACTTTTCATGCTGTCTCTAAAGGAATGAAAGATTTTTTCCAAGCACTAAGCTCACTTAGCTGATTGCTCCTTCCTGTGTTTCCAAAAAGGCCAAAGTAAATAACCCAGTCCTTCTTTTCACTGTAGACAAGCCATGATCTGCTTATCTGTTCTCCATTTTTCATTTGGATGAAATAATAGCTGCAGGAATCATGACAGCAGACAACATAGAGGAGAGCAGGAGGCGGGGTTACCAATCTACTCGCTCTGGAGAGCAGAGTTCGCTGCTTTTAGATGTTGTCTCCAAAGTTTCCAGTAGCAGAAAAAAGTCACTAGATTTGGCGCTAGGATCTTTTTAGAAATCAAAGTGCTAGAGGGGTCTGAAAAGTGGCTAAATATAGCGACTAAAGCGCTAAGTTAGCAACACTGCTCTTTGCATGGTTTGTTTTCAAATGGTTTGCTGCTGTCTGTTTGGACCTTTCTGAACATGTGCAGCAAATGGACTGATCCAATATGGTGGACACTGAAGGGGGGGGGGGGGGGGGGGGGGGGGGGGGTGGGGACTCAGACACTGATAAACAGTATTATAATTGTTCTGATGGCATTTTAGCAAAAGGATTTCTATCAAAAACATAATTAATGTGAACAAATAAGGAATAGCTGTATTAACCATACATGCAAACAGAGTTTTATGGGGCCCTCAGGAACTTGGGGCCCGAGGCAACTGCCTAGTATTGCCTAATGGTAAATCTCCCCCCCCCCCCCCCCCCCCCCCCGACTATATTAACAATAATCTGACAACAAAAGTACAGTAATGATTGAAATACTTACATAAAAATACTACATTTGGTAATTTAGGACCTAAACAGAATTAATGCTGTTTTCTGAAGCAGTACTTTGCTTTATGGGGAAGAAGGGAAGATTTTCTGTCTCTGCAGTCATCTTCTATAAAATTAAAGATAAAAATAACACTGCTCAACCGTTTAGATGTATGTTAGTAGATTTGTGAGAGAGAACTTTATGGAAATCTAGCCTGTCTTCATTGATTTATTTGGTAAATATGAATGATTTGGTACAGTGGTCAGAATAGACCGGGGTTTAGCTAAGAACAGGACATTTAGGGCCACATTGTATCACATGACTTTTAATAAAACACAGCCAATTATTTTAGGTCATAGGAAATCTGTTTCCATTTTAAAACAGTTCAGCTTTCAAAATAAGGAAGCAGCCAAAAAGATTCATAAAAATGAAACTTCTATAGGGTTTAAGTTGATGTAAACAAAAGATAATAAGACACATAATTTCAAAAATTATTTAAATTAAAAGTAGTTCTAAAAAACTATTTCTGGTTCTTTTACCAGCGATATGTTGTGAAAATTAAATTGAAATATTCTTTGAAAACTTTTTTGAACTAAAGCTTCAAAGAGGTATTTGTCATTATAACACATTAGTTATTTATTTATATCAATTTGAGCAACTATTGGGAGCGCCCAAAGAGCTACAGGTTACAGACCCCTGGTGTAGACTGACCCTGATTTAAATAAGTCTTTTTTTTCTTGAATTGAGGAGGGAAGTCAGACATCTTGCCAATGGAACAGGACAATCCATCCATCCATCCATTTTCTTACACGCTTGTCCCAAGTGGGGTCACGAGGGGTGCTGGTGCCTATCTCCAGCAGTCAATGGGCAAGAGGCGGGGTACACCCTGGACAGGTCGCCAGTCCATCGCAGGGAACAGGACAATTTACATTTAAAATAAGAAAAAAACAACTGCATTTTCTAATTTCAAGTGCATGTTATCTAATTATCTTATTTTAGGGGTGAAAAGTCTCATTCCATTGGAAAATCATCTTATCTACCTGATCAGATTAAGGGTAAATACACCTATTTTCATTTTTTTCTTTTATTTCTATATCATTTTTGCTGTGTTTAATAATATGTCTTACTTGTCTTTTATGTGATTAAAATTGAGATCTAAGGCGCCTCCTATTCTTTCTTACAGCAGCTGCAGGAACTGTGGTCTGATCCAAGATGGCCGCCCTCTAGGCCAGTGACCAATGAAGTATATAATGTCTATGGCTGGGGCTATAGTTACGGTAGGTAGTGCAACAGGAATATGGAGACTGTTTTCAAAAGTGCAGATGGAGCAAAGCAGAGTGAGCTGGAAGCAGCAACATTCATTCCTGTAGGAAGAAGTCACCATTGGAGCAAAGCTTCATGCCTGCAGAGTGAGCTACAGCAGAGACAGGCTCACTGTGTAACTGAGCCAGAGTGATAGCTGCAATAACAACATGGTTTTTTAGGAAGGACGTTTAGTATCTGCCAGCAGGATGATGGCTTTGCAGCTTTGGGAGCAAAACTGTCCTCAAATCTTTTTGTTTCTGAAGCAATAATCCTGAAAGGTTGTCCTGGTGGAAGTCAGAAAAACAGGACATTGAATGACTTTAGCTGGACATCATGCTAATTGGATGGACACAGCATTACACTGTCTGCTCCACCTGCTTTTTGGGGGATTTTGGTATCTGACTGATCCATGTTATTCTCTCAGCACTGTAGGAATAATCTGAGCCTTAAGGGAAAACATGGAACCCCCCCTTTAACCTCTTCCTGCAGGCGGTTCTGCACTCAGTAATTATTGCAGATGAGGAAAAACTAACCTGAGCATGAATGGAATTCTGATTTCCTGTCCATTGGTGCCTTATGGTCCCATAATCCAGTTTTCCCAGTTTGAAACCTGCCAGTTCTGTAATGATGAGCTGAGCCCTGAGCTCACACAGCACAGACCACATGTTGATGGGGCCTTTGCATCAGACCAGATAGTGCTCATTGATTGGAGGTCAGCTGGCAGTGAGGCCCCTGAGGGCAGGAGCCCCAAATCTGAGTTTATTAGTGGAGCTCTATTAATCCCATCAGCAAAGTGATTTTATTCAGGCTCCTCTGTGATTATGCAGCAGCATAATGACCCAGTTAGTGCTGCTAGCTTGTTACCATGGCAGCAGTAGCTGGCAGGCTAAGCTGAGGAGCTAACGGTTAATCCCGTGGAGAGGAACAGGTTGCTTACCGTCTGTCTCAGATGGAGGAAGATCTGCACAGATTTTATTTCACTCTTCCCAGAAACCACAGAAAAAAACTATTTTACATCCAAAAAACGCATTTTTTACGGAAGGATGCGCAACAGAGGCTGTTTGGTAACAAATCCTGGATTTAACCAAAGAAGAATCTAGAAAAATAAATAAAAGAAGGAGAAGAAAGCTAAGAATAAATGGAGTTTTCCTATAATGTTGCTCAGGGTCTCGGTGTGTTCCTGTTATTCCTCCTCATCCTGTCCGGAGATCTGAGCTCTGCTGCGTTTCATACCAACTTCATCATTAAAACACAAATCCGGTAAAACTTTCAAAGTAAGAGCCGCAACTATTATTCTAAATGTCTTCTCCAATCCTGTTATTTATTTTACATCCTACAAATTGGATTTATTGTACTAAAAAAAAACGAAGAAGAAGCTGTAAATCCCAGCCGCTGAGCTGTTTACTGGGACCGCAGTGAGAGTCTTTACTGCCTTTCCTCCGCTGGAAAACAACCAATCAGACGCAGAGAAATCACACCGACGGACCTTTCAACCAATCAGCATTTAGTCAGTCTGACATATGCTCAGATGTCAGCCAATCAGCGAACGGTGCGTCTGCTGAACCTAGACTGACACCTATAGGAACCATTCAGCTCCAGGAAGACAGGCAGCGGTTCATCCGTGAAGTTTGCACAATAAATGAGACAGAAACAGATCAAAGACTATTTATTAACAAGTGAAGGTTTAAAACACGTTATCCTGCTTCTATTAGCTCACAGAAAGGAAATTAAATATGTTTATAAAACATAGAAGAAGGAGTTATGTGGAGATACCATGAAAAATAAAGACACATCTAAAATATTTTAATAAAAACTTCCACCACAGTATCCATCATGTTGAAGAAAAAGCAATAGATTCAGTAATCCTTTACTGAAAAATAACAATAAAACATGGATTAGGATTAAAATGAATAGAAAACATGATCAGAAAAACAATAACAAGAATTTATCACACAAATCTGGCTCCTCTTCATCTTCATGATGTTTTCCTCAGAGGGGATAATCTCTCCACAGACTGAAAAACAGACAGACAGCCAGTCAGTCATTCAGTCAGTCAGAGAGACAGTCATTAAGTCAGAAAGACAGACAGTCAGTCAACTGTAACTGTGTAGGGTCAGTGATAGCCATGCTAACTGTGTAGGGGCAGTGATAGCCATGCTAACTGTGTAGGGGCAGTGATAGCCATGCTAACTATGTAGGGGCAGTGATAGCCATGCTAACTATGTAGGGCAGTGATAGCCATGCTAACTATGTAGGGGCAGTGATAGCCATGCTAACTGTGTAGGGGCAGTGATAGCCATGCTAACTATGTAGGGCAGTGATAGCCATGCTAACTATGTAGGGGCAGTGATAGCCATGCTAACTGTGTAGGGGCAGTGATAGCCATGCTAACTATGTAGGGGCAGTGATAGCCATGCTAACTATCTAGGGCCAGTGATAGCCATGCTAACTGTGTAGGGGCAGTGATAGCCATGCTAACTATGTAGGGGCAGTGATAGCCATGCTAACTATGTAGGGGCAGTGATAGCCATGCTAACTATCTAGGGCCAGTGATAGCCATGCTAACTGTGTAGGGGCAGTGATAGCCATGCTAACTATGTAGGGGCAGTGATAGCCATGCTAACTATGTAGGGGCAGTGATAGCCATGCTAACTATGTAGGGCAGTGATAGCCATGCTAACTATGTAGGGGCAGTGATAGCCATGCTAACTATGTAGGGGCAGTGATAGCCATGCTAATTGTGTAGGGGCAGTGATAGCCATGCTAACTATGTAGGGGCAGTGATAGCCATGCTAACTATGTAGGGGCAGTGATAGCCATGCTAACTATGTAGGGGCAGTGATAGCCATGCTAACTGTGTAGGGGCAGTGATAGCCGTGCTAACTATGTAGGGGCAGTGATAGCCATGCTAACTATGTAGGGGCAGTGATAGCCGTGCTAACTATGTAGGGGCAGTGATAGCCATGCTAACTATGTAGGGGCAGTGATAGCCATGCTAACTGTGTAGGGGCAGTGATAGCCATGCTAACTATGTAGGAGCAGTGATAGCCATGCTAACTATGTAGGGGCAGTGATAGTCATGCTAACTATGTAGGGGCAGTGATAGCCATGCTAACTGTGTAGGGGCAGTGATAGCCATGCTAACTATGTAGGGGCAGTGATAGTCATGCTAACTATGTAGGGGCAGTGATAGCCATGCTAACTGTGTAGGGGCAGTGATAGTCATGCTAACAATGTAGGAGCAGTGATAGCCATGCTAACTGTGTAGGGGCAGTGATAGCCATGCTAACTATGTAGGCAGTGGCGGCCGGCCCATAGGGGGCGCTGGGGCACCGCCCTCCCTGATAAGAAGAGAGAAACGTAAAATATATTTTTAGAAATTAACTCATAAATATCAGTTTTACTCTCTAGACTGTGTAACTATAAGCAAAACAAATTATATAAACTACATTTCCCTATCTACTGTCATTAATTTGTGGATTTCCACAGACAGACTCCTACCGTCTCTGTTCTGGGGGCTGTGATCAGACTGACCCACATTTGCAGAGAATCTGTCAATCATGTACTATTGCTAGGTGAATTTAATGGCCAATCAGCGTCTCGGAACTTTATGGTATTGGGGCGCTGAAAATACTGCGCTTTTACAGGCTTCTGAACCCAAGCGCAGGTGCAGACAATTAGAGGGAAGCTGGCGAATGTAACGAGCGAGATGCAGCTTCCACCAAATTCGGTGAGATCCTTATTTATCTACCCGTTTGCCAGAAGAACATCCCTGTTGTATGATATGAACATTTCATTTCATGGTTATTGTGACTGTGACGAATCCACCTCGTCGCTTAAAACAACCTCTCTAACTTTGCGCGCCACACACACATTCCTGTTATACTGTGTTTGTGAGGACCAATACACTCGCGCTGAGATCAGTAGCTCTATTAACTTAAAACACACAAGCTGTTCCTGGTTACCTGCTGGCGTATTGAGGGTGCACACTTAATATTTCAGTGGGGTTAGCCGTGTGTGTGTGTGTGTGTGTGTGTGTGTGTGTGTGTGTGTGTGTGTGTGTGTGTGTGTGTGTGTGTGTGTGTGTGTGTGTGTGTGTGTGTGTGTGTGTGTGTGTGTGTGGGTATGTGGGGGGTGTGGGTGTGTACGTGTTTATGCGGGGACTTGTCATCTTCAGTCTGGCTGCGTCTTTGCTGGGTTCAAACCCAGTTTGGTGTAATTGAATAAGTCAATGAATCTGTGTAAAAGAATTAAGTTGTAAAAATTATTTGTTTTTGTACATCAATTGTTTGTGGAGGTAATATATGGACAAAAGTGATTAATGAGAAGAAATCAGAAATAAGAGAGTCTGAGGTGAGGGGCTTAAACTATTTAATGAGGGCTGTGGGAAGAAAAGCAGCAATTTTTGTTTTCTGTTTCTTTGTTACATTGCTGGTAACTGGAGGGAGGCTGAGGCCCAGAGGATCTTGTATATGTTTAGTTTCTTTTGCACCCTGTTTTGAGTTTTTGAGCTCAATAAATCACCAACACCGGTAACCCGACTGAGACTGGATTCTTGGAGGCCAAAGAACCCCGTCACAGTGACCCAAATCATCACTGTTACTGTTATTATATAGTAAATTAAATCATTACTGTTAAATTGTATGTATTGTCCAATTGTTTATTTGAATTCTTATTCCGGGTTAGTTGGAGACATACACTAGGCTATATCAGCCCCACCAAAAATATTTTTCACCAGCCGCCACTGTATGTAGGGGCAGTGATAGCCATGCTAACTATGTAGGGGTAGTGATAGCCATGCTAACTATGTAGGGGCAGTGATAGCCATGCTAACTATGTAGGGGTAGTGATAGCCATGCTAACTATGTAGGGGTAGTGATAGCCATGCTAACTATGTAGGGGCAGTGATAGCCATGCTAACTATGTAGGGGCAGTGATAGTCATGCTAACTATGTAGGGGTAGTGATAGCCATGCTAACTATGTAGGGGCAGTGATAGCCATGCTAACTATGTAGGGGCAGTGATAGTCATGCCAGTCCAGGGACTGACTCCAAATCTACTGGAAGGGGCCTTGGTCAAGGTCAATGACCGGTGTACCTGACATGGAACAACCAGACCATGCATGTTGCTTTAGGTTAATAGATTATATTAATTAGGTTACGTATGCTTAAAAAAAACTCCACTGTCCACCTTCTTTTTTTTTTTTTTTTTTTTTTTTACAAGTAGACTACTGAGTATCCTCTCTATGTACATCAGGGAGGCTCATTTAAAAAAACCTTAAACCAGGTTTATTATTTAGCTTTTAACATTGTTCGGTTTTTATGTGTTTAATCTTTTATCTCAGGCTTTATTCACAGAGCATTTTCATCTTCTATTTCAGCCGTGCTTGTTTCAGTAGGGTACGCTACCTCTGGCAGTACTCCTGATCAGCCTGAGTTTGCAGCAGCAGCTCTCTAATTTCCTCAGCAGGGTTCAGACCATGAAGCTTGGCTCTCTCCCACCTCTGCAGTCTGCTGATGCCTGAAACAGGACAAAACAGTCACAGATTGACCACCTGTATCTATGATGGATGGAGATGCATGCACTGGATCCAATGCATGGATCCAGTGCATTGAGGAAACACTGGGATCATTTGACAGATTTTTTACATGCAAGAAATATTTTGTATTTTTATATATTTGTATTTTATGTTTTTATTTATCTTACCTATTTTTTCCTCTTTGAGAAAGTAAGAGATTATTTTGTTAAGTTCTTAATTTCCTTAATGACACAGATGGATTTCTAAATGATCTATTGAGGGGTTTCACAGCAGGCAAGCTGACTAAAATCATTTTATTTTTAATTCCTTTTGCTTTACAGCTGTGCACTGCTTTGGATGCTGCTCTAAAACCACATGATGGTGCGAAGGTAAAAAAAAATGAAAGGGGTGTGAATTCGAACAAAAACTTCCAGTAGCCAATTGGTGGTGAGCAACAGGTACAATAATTTAGAGGGGAGCGATAATCGTCACCTTGAAAACAGATGTTTAAAAATTAAATATGTGAAAACCAAAGGCTGAGTGGGTTTAGAAGAACCGACCAGACGCCCCTCTAAGATTAACCGTTTATCAGCCAGTGAGTCAGAAAAGGGAGAGTAATGATGTTGGCGTGTAAACGCCCTGAAAATACACACATGCACAGCAAACACAAAGAGGAAAGATGCTGCAATGAGGAAAGAAAATAATAAAACCCAAACTATAAGTTAATAAAAGCTCTGCACCAGGAAGGCTGCTCCAGACCACTAGGGGGAGACGATCGCCGGATCATATGGGACCAGATCATTGATGGTGGGTGAAATGTAGAGATGAAACCCTCAGCAGAATCACCTTCCAGGAGACATTTTGAAGGAGAAAGATTCCTTTGACTCTTTTTAGACCTTCATTATCTCTGTTTATTCCTTTACTAAGGTTCTAGTCCCATAGGTCAGAGGTCGGCAATCCGCGGCTCCAGAGCCGCATAGGGCTCTTTAGCGCCCCCCTTGCAGGTCCTTGGATCTTTTTCAAGAATGTATGAAAATTGTTTTTTTTTGTTTGTTTGTTTGTTTTAATATGGTGTGCAGGAGGTTAAACAAACATTTATTATGTTTTACAATGCTGGAAACATTTGTATAATAAATACATTTAAACAATAAATTTAAACATTTCTTTTAACTTAAATTTGCATCATGGCCATAGAGATCATAATAAATAAAATATAAATCGTAATAAAATCTGAATCACAGCAAGGTGGTGACAGAGGATGTAGAGAGCTCTGCTCTGATGGATGTCAGTTCCTGCTTGGTTCCTCATGACTCCATCAGCTCCTCCCAGCAGAAACACTTCCTCCATAGAAAGATTCCTTTATCCTGTTTCTATCTGTTCATCAGTGAAACTAAACCTAAACCGCGTGGTGAAGGGCGGTGAAGCGGCGCGGTGAGAGCGTTCCCTGCTCCTCCCTCAACGCATGCTACTATGTAACATTTGCTCCAGGATAAACATTTAATCACCGATGCTTATTATATATCTAAGCCCACCAAGTCCTTTTCTATAGCGGGATAATACTCTTAGAGGCCGTGTTGCAATACGAGGCTTTTACATTTTTTCAGCTCCAGAAAGATTTGTTTCGTTGTTTTTTTTAGTCCAATATGGCTCCTAGAGCAGGTTGGGTTGCTTACCCCTGTTGTAGGTGATTGTCTCCCCCTAGTGGTCTGGAGTGCTTCCATTCACTGCACCACTTTGATCTTTTCTGAACTTGCTGTTGTCTTTGCTACTTGCAGCTTTTTGCATACGTTTGTATATCTGCGTGTTAGACTCATTATTGTGTTTGCTGCATGTTTATGTATTTGCTCTGTGTTTGCACCTCTATCAGACGATTAGTCACCAGCAGTAACTTACTGTCAGGTTGTTTTAACCCAAAATGAGGCGTATCAGATGCAGACAGTGAACAGTTTGCAACAGGAGTTTAGATTCAATGTTTAGATTTGTGAGAATAGATGCTGTTCTGCACCACGTCCAGATGCTGCAGGGCATTACCTGTGCAAGGGCCGAATCTCCAGTCTAGGTCAAACTGCTTGAGCTGCTGCAAATCCTCCTCTCTGGCAGATGGAGTAACATCTTCTGCTTCAATAAGATAATTGAGATATAATTTAAAATGGGGAGAAATATTGCTGTTATCAACATTAACGAACATTTGATTTATGTTAGCAAGTTCTGTTCTTCTGGTTTATTTCCTGTTTTAACCTAAAAGGGAAAACCTGTGATGATCGTCCGGCTAAAGAGTTTAATCAACTTATATCTAACAAACTTATCATTATTAAAAGATGTTAATAGGAATCTTCCACAGCAGTTATGATACATTTTTACAAAAAAAAAAACATTTGGAACTATTTGACTGAAGCAACCGAATGATAAAAGTGATTATTGAACACCTGGCTGTGATGGAGGAGGGGTGGGACTCTTCCTTTGCTTTGCCCCTCGCCGCGATTTCTTCACCACCTTAAATGAGTCCGTTATCAGTCCACGCTTCGTTGTCATGGTGACCAATCTAGGAAATAAACAAAGCAATGAAATGAATGAATGTTTCTGATCCAAGCTGGTCATATACTCACACAGTTCCTTCTACCAGAGGACAGGTAGAAACAGGGGCGCTGCCAGGAATTTGGGGCCCCATCAAAGACATCGATATTGACCCCCCCCCCCCAAAAAAGGAAAATAAACAAATAAATTATGCAAGTTTTAATACTTCTACACAGATCCACTGAAGTTTATCATTTACATTTTCTCTGTAAAAAAGTTAAATATACATTAACTTTAAATTGTATAAACTGGCGGATAAAAAACTTGAATGGTCATTTTATTCATGCTTTGTTTCAATGTTTATTTATAACAATTGAGGGAGAACCTTTCAGTTTAATTCAATTCAGTTTATTTCTATAGCTCCAATTCACAACACTTGTCATCTCAAGGCACTTTACAGATCAACCAGATCATCCAGTCAGATTGATTCAAAGTTGATTGCATCGACTCATTGACTCTTCAGCAATCCCTCACACTAAGCATGCTTGTAGCGACAGTGGAGAGGAAAAATTCCCTTTTAACAGGATGAAACCTCCAGCAGAACCAGGCTCAGTGTGAGCGGCCATCTGCTGAGGCCGACTGGGGTTCAAGGAGACAGAAGCAGACATAGAAACAGAAGCATAGATACAAGAGGATGAAGAGAGCACATCCAGCCAGTCACAGTCAGAGAAACAGGACTACACTGAAAAACAGGCCAAGCTCCAACATCTATAAACAAAGGTGTTGATGGCAGCAGCACAGCTGATATTTCTCTCCAGGATGGAGTCGCAGCAGAACAAAAATGTATTTATTTTACTGCTAGATTTTCTTTTTATATTTGAATTATCTATTGGGAGATATATTGTCTTCTTCTCTGCCTAACCTTTCCCCCTACTACGGCACCCCTGGGTAGAAATGTTCTGCTTCTATGTTGCCACTAAAATCAGGGGAATCTGAGGTGGATTTAAGATCTGAGAAGAGGCTGTAACTGGGGAAATGTTCTCACTTTACCCTCCCAGTTCATATGCTGGTCTGCCTTTCTGACCACTGTCTCGCTAAGGAAGGCTCTGCTCCTGGATGAAGGGATTCTGATGATCCGAACCCCTCCATGATTCAATGGAAGCCATGTTATCAGAGATCTCCACTCTGCAGCTTTCATCTCTGTGAATATAAACAAACCCAGGCTGACTGGAATTTCACTCCAACATCATGTGTTTGTTAGATCTGCTCGATCATTGATCCCTAAACAGCCCTTTCTACATCGTCACATGTGAAACTATGAGACAGAGCGATGGAAACCTTCTGGGTAACAGATAGAGGTGAGAGCTCGCAGCAACATATGGTTTAAAACAGGAACAGAGACCAAAACTACAGCTTAGATTCATGCAGTTCACACCTGATGCAAACATGGGGACAGGGGGGGGGGGGGGGGGGGGGGATTTACCATCAGGCAATAATAGGCAGTCGTCTAGGGCCCCAAATTCCTGGGAGCCCCATAAAACTACGGTATGTTTCCATGTATGGTTGATACAACTATTCCTTATTGGCGCACATTAATTATGTTTTTGATAAAAATCCTTTGGCTAAAATGCCATCAGAAAGCTGATAATATTAAGTGTATCTCCAGAGCCAGTAGATTGGTAACCCCGCCTCCTGCTCTCCTCTATCTTGTGTGCTGTCATGATTCATGCAGCTATTATTTCATCCAAATGAAAAATGGAGAACAGATAAGGAGACCATGGCTTGTCTACAGTGAAAAGAAGGACTGGGTTATTTACTTTGGCCTTTTTGGAAACACAGGAAGGAGCAATCAGCTAAGTGATCTTAGTGCTTGGAAAAAATCTACAAAACATAGAGAGGAAAACAAGAAGAAAAGGGACAAGAAGAGAGGGACACAACCTAGAACAGATAATGGATGTCTATCTGAGCCTGGTTCTGCTGGAGGTTTCTTCCTGTTCAAAGGGAGTTTTTCCTCTCCACTGTCACTACAAGCATGCTTAGTGTGAGGGATTGCTGAAGACTCAATGAGTCGATGCATTCAGCTGGTTTTCCTTACATAGAAAACTTTGAATCAATCTGACTGGATGATCTGGTGAACTGGAAAGTGCCTTGTGATGACATGTGTTGTTGAATTGGCGCTATAGAAATAAACTGAATAGAATATTAACATTTTTCTATCTGTATAATGGCCCCCCTGCCTTCCTTTGCCTTGGGCCCCACACTTCTTAAATCCGGCCCTGCATGGGGACGTATTAAACTAATAAAGCTGATAAAAGCAGCTTTAATCGATCTATTTTCCCTGGGAGGTTTTATTTAGACCCCATGTTTCCTCGGCATCTGATCTTAACAGCTTTTCCTCTGGTTATCATTTTCTCTCAATCAATCAGGAGCATCATAAAGGTGAAGATCCTTAGGTTGGACAAAATGAATTCATTCATCATTCTAAGAGTACAGTTAGCCATAGATTAAACATGGATCAGCCTTCAGACCTGATCATGAAGCCGTCCTAACAGCGTTATTAACCCAGCAGCAGGCCCCAGTCTTTCCGCTCATATTCACAGGGTTATCCGCCATAGAAGCAGCAGTGCCCCCTGCAGGCTGGCGGACCTACCTGTCAGATGTTCGGGGAAAGCAGCTCGGTTCTGTTAGTGTTGTTGTTTGGCTAAATCCAAGCTGTTAGTGTTTGTTTTGATCCCACTTTACTGCAAAGGAACAAACCAATGATGCCCTGCCTTCTTCTTCTTCTCTTAGCGTCACATTATCTCTGCCCTCTGGCACCACCTGCAGCCATTTATTAAGTATTACACGAAGAAGAAAATCTTTTATAGATCCAGTATAACAGTGTTATTGCTTCCTCTCCATTTTAGGATTTAATATTATAGGAATTGTTCTGCTATATTTGATTTCTCTATATTGATTCTATTTGTAGCTTCATTGGCTTTAGTGCTTTCTGTGTAAATCAGAGCTTTCAGCCTGACACTGTGGTTGGTTCATCCTTATTTTATTCCACTTCCTCTCATTCTGGAGATGTCTCTGCTGTTTTTCTTAACGTTGCAGGTTCCAGGCATGTAAAAAGGTTTCTAATCACACATTTGCACTGACTTTTGGATATAAGTCATGCATGAAAACACTAAGTTAGGTTTATTTGTCCTTTTTATGTTTTTGTTTGAATAACTTTGTAATAAACAATAATTGAGGCAAAGACTGTCCATCCATCTATTTTCCGTCACGCTTTATCCCAGCTGGGGTGGTGAGGGGTGCTGGTTCTTATCTCCAGTTGCCTACGGGTGAGAGGCGGGGTCCTCCCTGGAAAGGTCTCCAGTCCATCACAGAGCGTGCAGGACAAACAACCATTCACACTCACACCTAAGGAGAATTTGGAGAAGCCCATTAACCTAACAGTCATGTTTTTGGACTGTGGGAGGAAGCTGGAGTACCCGGAGAGAACCCACGTATGCTCAGGGAGAACATGCTAACTCCATGCAGAAAGACCGCAGGAATCAAACCCAGAACCTTCTTGCTGCAAAGCAGCAATGCTACCCACTGCCCTACTGAGCAACCCAGGCAGAGACTCATTCTATAAAATATCTTCAGAACTCAGTATCTAATTCCTTTTAGCTGTAAAACAGAACAGAGCAAATGCACAATCAAACCAAGATAGGATTTATGTCCTAAGGGTCATATCCACTCAGCTGTGTGCTACTGCATGTGTCTCTCATTTTATTTAGGGCATGACTGCCTCTGCAGATTATCAGCCGAGAACAGGAGAAGTAACAATGTTCATGGGGCTGAAATCAGCCTCTTAAAGACTATTGCAATTCTTTACAATCAGGAAGTTCACAAACTGTAGTTAAAAGCCGTCAGCTGATCCAAAATGCTGCAGCCAGAGTTCTAAAGAAAATGAAAAAGAGAGATCACATCTCTCCTATCCTGGCTTCTCTTCATTGGCTTCCTGTTAAATCCAGAATAGAATTTAAAATCCTCCTTCTCACATATAAATCCTTAAATGGCCAAGCTCCATCTGATATCAGAGATCTGATTGTTCCTTATGTTCCTAACAGAGCACTTCGCTCTCAATCTGCAGGTTAACTAGTGGTTAGTAGAACTTCTAAAAGTAGAATGGGAGGCAGATCTTTTAGTTATCAGGCTCCTCTCCTGTGGAACCAGTTTTAACCTATGAGGTAATGCTATTGAAGCAACATTAGAGAATAAATGTTTATCTATTATAGCATTTAAATGCAGTCTTAAATTTCTACAAATTAAAAAGCAAACTTATAATAAATGCATTGCATCAACACCTTCAATAAATGTTTCCATGAATGCTTTAATATTCTGGGCGGTATATTCAGCTGCATGCATGTGTTCTCTATGGGTACCCTGACTTCCTCCTACAGCCCACAGACAGACAGGACGTTAGTTGAAGAAATGGTGGTGGTTCTAGAACAGTACTCCTGGTTTTATTCATGGGGTCACAAATGAAACAACCAAAGAGCAGAATGGATGATGGTTTGATGTATTCAGTCAGCCCCCCAGGCAGCGGCTCAGACCCTAAAGGAACAGATGAAGCTGATCCTATGAGGCTCAAGCTGCTGAATCCTAGAATCAGGAGACCAGCAGTCTGTCCTCTGAGCTAAATACACCATGTCCATGTCAACTCCTCCTCCTCCTACTCCTCCTTAATAACCTTAACATCTTCCCCCTCTTCCTCCAGCTCCTTTTCCTCATCATACTGCTCCTCCTCCTCCCTTTTTTCCTCCTGCCCCTCCTTGTTTTTCTTCCTCATCTCCTCCTCTTTCTCCTTCTCCTTTTCCTCACTGCTCCTTCTCCTCCCTTTTCTCCTCCTACTCCTCCTTGTTTTCTTCCTCTCTCCCCCTCTTCCTCCTCCTTTCCTCATCATACTGCTCCTCGCCCTTTTTTTCCTCCTGCTCCTCCTTGTTTTCTTCCTCTCTCCCCCTCTCCCTCCTCCTTTCCTCATCATACTGCTCCTCCTCCTTTTTCTCCTCCTTGTTTTCTTCCTCGCTCCCCCTCTTCCTCCTCCTCCTCCTCCTCATCACCCTGCTCCTCCTCCTTGTCCTTTTCCTCATCTTCACCCTCCTCTTCCTCCTCCTTTTTTCCTCCTCCTCTTCCTTCTTGTCCTCATATTCGTCCTCTTCCCTTTTCTTCCTGCTCCTCATCCTCCTCTTCCTGCTTCACCAATCAAATGGTACCAGGACAATTCAAGCTGCTCTTTAATTACGTTCATTAACATATTTTTTCTGACCTATTATTAAAATCACTTTGTATATTTTACTGTGAATATTGACATGAAGCCCAGGAGTTTCAGTCAGTTTCTTTAAACTGAAAAAGGGAGAAAAACTAAAGAGCATAAACAAGCAGACTGACTGATGAGCCAGTAGGTGGCGCCATTTAGTCACAGACTAGCAGCAGATTTCAGAAACAAGAGATTAGAGCAGATGCTCTGGATCCTGCTTTCTACTGTTTGTTGTTTATTGTGGAAAACATTTTTGCTGATGTTTCTATTCTGTTTTTGGAACTGTGTCCTGTGAGGTGTTTGGTTTTTGGAACACAGATCAAATTCATAATTTGTGCATTATGTGCACTGTGTTTGGAAACGCCACTCTAACATGGAGGACTGATGGAAAGCAGACATATGTCTTCTAGAAAAACAGCCAATAGGTCTGGTGCTGCTGGATGAGTGGCAAGGCAGGAAAAGGAGAAAAGAGTTTTAGAAGAAACTAACCAACAAGACCTGCTGCTGCAGACTGAGGAATGGCAGGGAAATGGATGACATCATATTGTTTCCTACTTCCTTTGGTGTTAGACATCTCACCTGTGTTTACTGTAACAGCTGAAGGAAACCCTCACTAACATCCCTCTAAAACAAATCTGATCTCTGTTTGGCTGCTCTAAGTCACACTATTTTAACATCATTAAGGGAAGGTGACCCTGTGCTACCATCATTAAGGGAACATGACCCTGTGCTACCATCATTAAGGGAACATGACCCTGTGCTACCATCATTAAGGGAAGGTGACCCTGTGCTACCATCATTAAGGGAACATGACCCTGTGCTACCATCATTAAGGGAAGGTGACCCTGTGCTACCATCATTAAGGGAACATGACCCTGTGCTACCATCATTAAGGGAACATGACCCTGTGCTACCATCATTAAGGGAAGGTGACCCTGTGCTACCATCATTAAGGGAACATGACCCTGTGCTACCATCATTAAGGGAACATGACCCTGTGCTACCATCATTAAGGGAAGGTGACCCTGTGCTACCATCATTAAGGGAAGGTGACCCTGTGCTACCATCATTAAGGGAACGTGACCCTGTGCTACCATCATTAAGGGAACATGACCCTGTGCTACCATCATTAAGGGAAGGTGACCCTGTGCTACCATCATTAAGGGAAGGTGACCCTGTGCTACCATCATTAAGGGAAGGTGACCCTGTGCTACCATCATTAAGGGAACATGACCCTGTGCTACCATCATTAAGGGAAGGTGACCCTGTGCTACCATCATTAAGGGAACATGACCCTGTGCTACCATCATTAAGGGAAGGTGACCCTGTGCTACCATCATTAAGGGAACATGACCCTGTGCTACCATCATTAAGGGAAGGTGACCCTGTGCTACCATCATTAAGGGAACATGACCCTGTGCTACCATCATTAAGGGAACATGACCCTGTGCTACCATCATTAAGGGAAGGTGACCCTGTGCTACCATCATTAAGGTGACCCTGTGCTACCATCATTAAGGGAACATGACCCTGTGCTACCATCCTCAAGGGAAGGTGACCCTGTGCTACCATCATTAAGGGAAGGTGACCCTGTGCTACCATCATTAAGGGAAGGTGTACCTGTGCTACCATCATTAAGGCGACCCTGTGCTACCATCATTAAGGGAACATGACCCTGTGCTACCATCCTCAAGGGAAGGTGACCCTGTGCTACCATCATTAAGGGAAGGTGACCCTGTGCTACCATCATTAAGGGAAGGTGACCCTGTGCTACCATCATTAAGGGAAGGTGACCCTGTGCTACCATCATTAAGGGAAGGTGACCCTGTGCTACCATCATTAAGGGAAGGTGACCCTGTGCTACCATCATTAAGGGAAGGTGACCCTGTGCTACCATCATTAAGGGAAGGTGACCCTGTGCTACCATCATTAAGGGAAGGTGACCCTGTGCTACCATCATTAAGGGAAGGTGACCCTGTGCTACCATCATTAAGGGAAGGTGACCCTGTGCTACCATCATTAAGGGAAGGTGACCCTGTGCTACCATCATTAAGGTGACCCTGTGCTACCATCATTAAGGGAACATGACCCTGTGCTACCATCATTAAGGGAAGGTGACCCTGTGCTACCATCATTAAGGGAAGGTGACCCTGTGCTACCATCATTAAGGGAAGGTGACCCTGTGCTACCATCATTAAGGGAACATGACCCTGTGCTACCATCATTAAGGTGACCCTGTGCTACCATCATTAAGGGAAGGTGACCCTGTGCTACCATCCTCAAGGGAAGGTGACCCTGTGCTACCATCATTAAGGGAAGGTGACCCTGTGCTACCATCATTAAGGGAAGGTGACCCTGTGCTACCATCATTAAGGGAACATGACCCTGTGCTACCATCATTAAGGGAAGGTGACCCTGTGCTACCATCATTAAGGGAAGGTGACCCTGTGCTACCATCATTAAGGGAAGGTGACCCTGTGCTACCATCATTAAGGGAACATGACCCTGAGCAGCAGATCAAACAAACCAAGTAAACATTGACACTCAAACCTCTCTTTATTAGTAGAAACTTTGGCTGGGCCAAACATAGCGACTGCTCTGTAACAAACATAAATCTTTTCAAATATGACATTAGAGACATTAATATTAAGCCAAGTCCTAAAGAGGCCTCATCAGCTGTGTCCTGCAGCCGTTTCTGGACTCAACTCTTCAGCTGTCATTCTGTGTGGACGATGTTACTGCAGTTGGATTAGAGAGCAGTCAGTAAATGAGACTGCATTACGATGCTTTAGTCTACATGCTGGAATTAAACCAGTGCTCCCAGTTTGTAGTCACACACCTATAGTGATTACACTGCAAATATAATCTAGAAGTAATTCAACTTTTTTTTAATGCAGCCTTAATGTGAGCAGGTAAATAAGATGATCTGCCAGTGGAATGAGTATTTTTACTCTTAAAATAATATAATTGGATAATATGCACTGGAAATAAGACAATGTAATCTTTTTTTCTTATTTTAAATGTATATCGTCTTGTTCCATTGGCAAAAAGTCTCACTAACCTCCTCAATTTGAGAAAAAATGCACTGATTTTAGGAAAAAATGACTTATTTAGATTTCCATTTTTTGCATTGTAGGAACGCTTTCACTGAGATTAGCTCAGTAATCTATGTCAAACATGTGCAGTGATGTGATAGAAATGGATCTGTTAACAGTCCAGTCAGATCCTCATCCCCTCCTATGAAGAAGCATGCAAACATCATAGAAAACATAAAACCAGCTCCTCCTCCTCAGGGTGAGAAGCTACATTTCTGTCCTGCAGGTGTGTTTGTGGCGAGCGCCTCTATTCTGGGTCACAGGTGGGTGGAAGTAGAGAAGCAGAGTTTTATGGTGAAGGGGTTGGAGCTTCCTGCAAGAAAAGAAAAAAACGCATTATGACTCTGAATGGATGCTCAGTGCTTCTCTTTGCCTGAGCTGCTCACCGGTTATCCTGAACTGATGGTGGTTTAGCACAGTCAGAGCTTCAACAGCTGCAGCCTTACAGTCAAACTCCAACAAACCAGAGAGAGTCTTAGAGCTGGCTGGAAGACCAGAGAGAAACCGTCTGAGAACACCGACCACTTCCTGTCACTGGGCCATTGAAAAGCTATAACTCACGTTTGGCATCAAAGACCTTATACTTGGTGAAGGCCGGAGCGTCGTTCTCCGAGCAGAACTGAGGGGAAGCGGAGAGGAGACGTCAGACTATGAAGAAGAGAAGGTTTGAACGTGTGTGGGAGCTTACGTTGAGCAGCTGCTGCTGGGTGAGGGTCGGCGGGGCGTTGTAGAAGTGCAGGACGGCGGTCGGCGGCTGGATGATGTTTCTGTGGCCATGAGCGCTGCTGAAGCGGTTGTTTCTGGTCAGGCTGAAGTCCTGGTAGCTGCTGCTGCCGTCAGCCAGCTCAAACACCTGGCTGGGAATCACCGCCTGCTGCCTGGACACACTGGGACGTCAGAACCACCATTAAACAATCAACTGGATGGGAGGAGGCAAAGAATCAACAGGAAAACGGGTGTTGGAGGCAGACTTTCTGTTTAACACCACAGCACTGACTGCTGTGTTTAGGACAAACCAGCTCAGCTGTCAGTAGGAACCGGCTGGGCTCTTTTTACAGGCTTAGTGAGATCTGGACCAACCTAGAGCTACATTCTCCTGATTTCCCAGGATTCACTGCAGGTCAGAGCAGACCTGTAAATCTACAACGGATCTATTACCTTCAGATGTTTTAAAGCTAGAAGTTAACTTTGGTTGGCAAAGGTTTCACATATAAAAAAAAAAGGACCTCCTCTGTTTCCTGAGACATTAACCTCAGACTGTGGATCCGATGGAAAGGTTGAAGGAAAAAAAACGTCCTCTTCTTCATGGATCAGCCCAAACACTTGACCCGGGTTACCAGCAGGCCCTTACAGTCCAGCTGAGGGTCAGACTGGGTCAACCAGGTTTCTTGACCATAACTATAGCCCCATTTCCACTACCCTCTGAAAACCGATTCCTTCTGAGCTTGGATCAGTTAACCGTGCCAAGCTTGGTTCCTTACAACCGTTTACTCACCACACTAGCATGGTTCCTCGCCTCCTAGTGGTGATATGCGGTACTGCTGCTCTCTACAGGGAAACAAGCAAACCAACATGGCGGCGCCCGTAACATTCAGGAAGTCTGCTGAGAGTCAGGCGAAGAAGGCAGCCTTTGGTGAATTTACTTGAGTCGGCTTTTGGGAAGTGGATACGACAAACGATTGTTTAATCAGAACTTACAGACGCAGGAAACAATGACAATATTTGAAGTTTACCACACCGCTAACAGAATCGTCATTGGAAGTGGTGTGGCACGGCAGGAAGCTAGTATTTTTATGAATGTCTGAAATGTCACGATGAAGGAGATGATGCAGTCTGCTCATGCGCTCTTTGTCACCTGAGAACTGAGCCAGAACTGAACCAGGCCGAGCCCTACTGATGAACTAGTACTAGGGATGCACGATAGTGGAATTTTGGCCGATATGCCGATATTTTAAAACTCATGTAGCCGATAACCGATATCGATACTGATGCTAAAGCTGGACCAAAATAAGTAGTCATTGAAAATAGCAGTTTTGTTATCCATTTCTGACACTTTGAAAAATAATATACTCAAATATATTTTCATATACTGATATCAAATAGATTTTTAAAAACGCGGTATCGATCTATTTTACTTATTAAAATCTCGTGAAATTTCATCGTTCTGTTACAAACTCTCGTGATATTTTGCAAATTCTTGTGAGATTTTGTTAGTAAAATAGATCGATACCGCGTCAATATATCAACATATAAAAATATGGCAAAATTTCGTGAATTTTCGGGGGATTTCGTAGCATATAGTGACATATAGCAATATTTCATCAGTAAAAGAGATTGATATGGTGTTTTTAAATGGCAATATATCAGCATATGAAGATATTGGGATATTTTAATGTATCAATATTTTTTCCCTTGTCTTTAGAAGTTTTTAAAGCTACAGTGTGTAATTTTCAGCGACATCTAGCGGTCAGACTGCAGACCGCAGCAACATGAACATCTCCCCCCCACCGCTTCTCCCCCCCAACAGTACGGCGAGCGTTACGGGACAAAATGTCTTCCACAACGTCGGAATCACCTACCTTCTCAAGTGATGAGGTTTGTTTACATAGATAATTTTACAGATAGTATTTCATTAGTCTGTGTAGGGTATAGATTTCATGTAGACTTAAGATAATAAATATACCCGTTATTTTTTCTACATCGTTGTGACGTTTTGGTGAGCTGCTTTGCATGGTGATATAAACAGACGAAGTAATTGTAGTCATTAGTTTAACAGCGAGATTGTGTTCGCTGGAAGAATATATATTCCCCGTTTACAGAGTCTAAGTCATTTTGGTGGCACGGGGGTTACAAGGCGAGGAAGAGGGAGAGGAAGAGGGCGAGGGCAGGGAGGCCGTGCAGCTAGGGCCAGGCGAGGGAGGGGTGCCAGCGGGGTGAGAGCAGAGGAGGAAAGGCTTGAAGATCTCCAAAGGAGCCGGAGAGAAGTAACCGAGGTATATATCCAGAAAATTATTTTACAGAAAATTACTGAATCATTACCTGTGAAACGTCAGGGACGTTGCTGAATAAGTATACCGGAGAGTAACAGCATCATCACGCAGCATGTTATTGTTTTAGACAGGTCTGAGCATCCTGTACTCCAAAAACTGCAGTGATATTAGACAATTGTGTGTGTAGGATTAATTACCTGTCCAAGAGAAAACTGGCAACTTGAGCGTCACTTTGAAAACCTTTTTCCTCCATCAGTGACTTCCATCGTGTAAATGCCGTGCCAATGTTGATTCGTGTTTTTTGCCGTTTCTTGTCACGCTTGCGTTTATTCTCGTCGTGTTTCCGCTTCTTAGATGACGGGGGTTCGGTGTCCGCCGCTTTTCGTTGTGATACAGAGTAGGCATGATCCTCCATTCGTCTGATGTTTGGCCACACAGTGCCAAACAGTTTGCAAAGTCACTCACGCCTGCCGCCTTGTTCACCTTTCTTGTTACTGAGGCGCAGTATACCTGCTTCTTCTTCTTCTTCTTTGGTTTCAGGCAGACTAAACGCTTCTCAGGCATAATACTGCCATCTACTGTTCAGTACCGTCTCAGTTCATCTCTCTCAACTTGCTGTAGTTATTTTCGAGCGTCATGGGAGATCTCGCAATCGCTAGTTTGTTGCCTCTGCGCTTGCCGTAGCGCAAAGATGTCAGCCTCCATGGTTGCGAGACCCGCTCCTATGTAATTATAAATAACGAATTCTAAGGCAACGCAAATATTAAGGTTAAGAGGCTGAGCTCGTAGATGATGATAAATAACATAGTTATGTATAATATATTACATTTCTGACTTTATATGCCTGTAATTATTACACACTGTAGCTTTAAGTCTGTAAAAAAGAAGTTTTTGAGGAAGAAGAAGAAGTAGTATTTTTTATTTAGACTTTAGAAACTCAGAAGCTGATCAAATATGGGGTTAAATATCGGTGGGGTGGCCGATGTCCGATATTCAGCTTTAAAGGAATAGTACACCCAAAACATGATTAGCCTTCATTTTCTACTCAGATATCAACTGAGATATCAAAAAAGTACTCCAGAGTGTTGTTCAGCATGGGGGTGAGTAGAAAATGAAGGCTAATCATGTTTTGGGTGTACTATTCCTTTAAGGCCGATACCGATAGGGGGCCGATTATATCGTGCATCCCTACCTAGTACCAGTGTAGAGCGGTTCGGTTGTGTCTGGGCGGTCCGGTTCAGTTGTGCGTGCCATTTACACTCAACAGTTACCTCGGTTACCATGCTCAGACTGATCTCGCATGGTTTCAAAAAGGTAGTGGAAATGGGGCCATTATGAGCCATTGTCATAGTTTAACTCAACATTATGCTGCGTTTCTTCTAGAACAGGAAGTTTTTCAAGGATTCAGGTGTAAATAATGATAAATAATAATTTTACTTTATTGATCTCACATGGGAGAATGCCCCCTCTGCATGTAACCCATCCCCTTGGGGAGCAGTGGCCTGCCATTGTGTGGCGCCTGGGGAGCAGTGGGGGGTTAAGGGTCCTGCTAAGGGACCCAGAGTGCAGGCTGTGGGGATTGAACTGAATACATGCAACCTTCTCAGAGCACACTGCTCTAACCACTAGGCCATCACCCCCTCAAATAGTGCTAAGCATGAAATATTTTGCACTAATCAGTAGCATCATTCCAATAAAACTGAAATCAGCTCAGTCTCAGGTGAAGTTTTCCTAATTTTTCTCTGAATTCTGGAGTCCTTTCATCCTGTATGAGGCTACAATTGTTACCATTTAAAACCAGGTGGCTGCAGGTCTTACCAGACATTCAGCTTCTTGCCAAACACCTTGGTGCTGTTGAGGTGGGTCACAGCGCGGTCCACCGCGTACTCATCAGCCATCTCCACCAGGGCTGTTCCAGGAACGCTCTTCATAAACTTTACCTGCAGACAGCAGCAGTGAGGACCAGCTGGTTTCATTCATTCAGTCCAAATGATCAGCTGCTCCACACAAGAGGCATAATCTATTGTGGAATGAGTTTTCTGCTCGAGGAAGGCAATAATAAAAAATAAGGGGATCTCTGATTGGTACTGATCCTTATTTTCTCTAAATGCTTTGAATCATTCTATGATGGTTTAATGCACCCCCTTCTCTGCCTTTTTAGAAAAGGCAGAGAAGAATGAACAATCTGGGATTCACGTGGAAAATAATAGAATAAAGTCTACTTTATTTGTTAATTTGCATAGTTGCTCTTAAACAAACACATTATCGGAAAATAAATAGTTTTTATATATAAAGAAATGTAAACCTGACTAATAGCTTCTCCATTTATAAACAGGTACATTATTTTTATGCAGGTTTGGGACACCATATTAGACCATGCAAAACCCAGATTTACCTTCACAAAGCCTCAGAAGGGCAAGATTTATGTACAAAAATCAAACCTGCACGTGAAGTTCTGTTTTTTTGTTTTTTTTCAAAAGTGCTTTTATATTGTTTTTGTTGTTGTTGGCATTCATATAAATATACTGGTGTGATAACTTAGTAACTTATTTATAGCCCCCCCCCCCCCCCCCCCCCCCCCCCCGGAGAAAACTCCACCAGCCGCCACTGATCGGTTCCAAACCTCCATGCAGCTCTACAGACACATCAGATCTCAGGCTCTCTAATAGCCTGACGTTGCTTTTATGTTACAAAAACCAAAAAACAAAGCTTTTATCAGTTTCTGTATAAAATAAAGTTAGTTTTTTTTAGCTCCGCACTATAAATACTAAAACCTTCTACTGCACAACAGCTGCCAGATTTATATAATGAGACCTAAAGCACATTTAAAGCTGTTAGATTGAAGCTGCTGGAATATAAGGAATAAATAAATTTGTCCAACAGGAATAAAACCAGATTATCCAACAATGTGTCAATTAACAGATGCCAAACAAACCTTTTCAACGTTGCCGTACAGACAGAAGAGGTTGAAGATGCGGCTGCAGTTCATCTTGTTGGGATGGAGGCCGCTGACCATGGCGACAGCACTAGTGCCCAGGTGGGTGGAACGAAGCGATGAGGAAGAGGAGAAGGTCTTTGGGAGGAGGTGTTTGTAGGAGACCAGTTCCTGCACCTCATGGCTACCTCTGTACCTGCTGTTAGGGGGCAGAGGCAGCAGGGGGCAGTGTGGGCCTATGCAGACCCACACAAACACAGTCAGAGCGCGTAGGAAGCACAGAGAAAGAGATGCAGACAGTGTACGTACCATAGCCGTTAGATGGATGCTCTCCCAGAATGGCCTGGCGGTGCCGTCCTTTTCCTGGATCTGGAAAACACAGAGTTAAAATGGACAGGCAGCCAATCACTGCTGCCCTCTGACCATCACACACTGCTCTGACTATTTGTTTCTTCTCTTTGTGAATCAAACTGTTACGATGCTAGCAACATCCAGCTACTGCAGTCCCAGACTCATAGCCTCCTCCATCTCCTACAGTGGAAATGTAGGAGATGGAGGAGGCACAGACACTTCTCTCAGTTCAGTCTCACCTCTTCAGATCAGTTTGAGCTTCTCATACAGTAGCAGCCATTCAAAAGTGCCCTACAAGGACCAGCCCAATGGCAGCCCACTTCCCTTCAACCTCCAGCTACTGGAGTGACCCCCACCTGCATTTTTTTAAGATTTTCTCTGACTCCACCCTTTTACTGAATTACAGGGTCTGACCAAGAGATGGCGCTGCTCTTAGATCTTAATGTCCACAAATCATGATAGAAACAATATTTTAGTACAAATATTGATGATTAAAAAGGAATTGTAGGGGACCAGCAAAGGACCAACCAAGTACCAGCAAAGGACCAACCAAGGACCAGGCAAGGACCAGGCAAGGACCAACCAAGGACCAACCAAAGACCAACCAAGTACCAGCAAAGGACCAACCAAGGACCAGCAAAGGACCAACCAAGGACCAGGCAAGGACCAGGCAAGGACCAGCCAAGGACCAACCAAGGACCAGCCAAAGACCAACCAAGTACCAGCAAAGGACCAACCAAGTACCAGCAAAGGACCAACCAAGGACCAGCAAAGGACCAACCAAGGACCAGGCAAGGACCAGCCAAGGACCAGGCAAGGAACAACCAAGGACCAGCCAAGGACCAGGCAAGGACCAGCCAAGGACCAGGCAAGGAACAACCAAGGACCAGCCAAGGACCAACCAAGGACCAGCCAAGGACCAACCAAGTACCAGCAAAGGACCAACCAAGGACCAGGCAAGGACCAACCAAGGACCAGCCAAGGACCAACCAAGTACCAGCAAAGGACCAACCAAGGACCAGGCAAGGACCAGCCAAGGACCAGGCAAGGACCAACCAAGGACCAGCCAAGGACCAACCAAGGACCAGCCAAGGACAGGCCAAGGACTAGGCAAGGACCAGCCAAGGACCAGCCAAGGGCCAGCCAAGGGCCAACCAAGGACCAGCCAAGGACCAGCCAAAGACTGGCCAAGGACCTGCCAAGGACCAACCAAGGACAATCCAAGGGCCAACCAAGGACCAGCCCAGGACCAGCCAAAGACTGGCCAAGGACCTGCCAAGGACCAACCAAGGACAATCCAAGGGCCAACCAAGGACCAGCCAAGGACCAACCAAGTACCAGCAAAGGACCAACCAAGGACCAGCCAAGGACCAACCAAGGACCAGCCAAGGACCAACCAAGTACCAGCAAAGGACCAACCAAGGACCAGCCAAGGACCAACCAAGGACCAGCCAAGGACCAACCAAGTACCAGCAAAGGACCAACCAAGGACAATCCAAGGGCCAGCCAAAGACCAGCCAAGGGCCAACCAAGGACCAGGCAAGGACCAGCCAAGGACCAGCCAAGGGCCAACCAAGGACCAGCCAAGGACCAGCCAAGGACCAGCCAAAGACCAGCCAAGGACCTGCCAAGGACCAACCAAGGACAATTCAAGGACCAACCAAGGACCAGCCAAGGAAAGTTGGGAAATTTTGAATGGCTACTACTGTAGATCAATGCTAGCCTGGCATCGATCAGGTGCTAGAGCAACTCTAGTTGCTAGAGCTCGATTTCATAGGTGAGACTAACCGCATCAGTGTCATCAGCTTAGAACCAATCAGAGAGCTTCAGATGTGATGCAGACACACACACCAACATGCTCTGTTTTTGTAAATTTGACTGTGAAACATGTGAAGCTGCCAGAGAAACTCTCCAGTAAACGATTTCTGTTGGTTTGGCCTAAAAGTTCAGAGGATCTAAGCTGTTCTTTCTGCTTCGTTCTTCATTTTCTCTGCAGCATTTTCGCCAGTTTGTTACAGCTCTTCTGCATTTTGGGTAATTCTGGTGCGGCGAGTGGCCCAGCGTAAAGTCCCGCCTCCTGCGCTGTGATTGGTCCAGATCTGTTTAATTCATTTTGGTTGGTCAGCCTGGATAAGCTCAACATCATCATTTACAAATCAGGCATTGATCTAAAAACAATCTACAGCTGAAATCACCAATGTTGTCATGAAAAGTAACTTTTAAACATTTTGGAAAATGATAAGAGCCACACTGAGTGTGTGTGCTCCTGTTTTAGAATAAGAGTGAGGACCAGTTTCAGTTTTTAACCTTTTGAGCGACGACATTATGCTGGTCCTTTATGCTGACGGTCAGTGGGTGAGGGTGTGGTATGCTGTGGTAACGGACACATGGTGCTCATCACACATAGCAAGATGAGAGTGTGTGTGGATGTGTGCTTTATATTAGATGAAGGAGGTGTCCTACCTCGATGCAGGAGGAAGGGTTTGGTGTAATCCCAGCTGGAGGTGTCATTGCGGACGACGTTCAGTCTGTTTGGCTGCAGGGGGCGACAGAGCACAGCACCTCTGGGTGGGTGTGTGTGCGTGGGCATAAGACTGAGGATGCATGCATGTTTGTTCACCTGGGTGCATGTTTGTTGGACAGTGTGTGAGTGCGTTTACCCGAGCATACTCGATCTTCAGTGTGCAGCAGCCAGAGTAGATGTCTGCTCCGTTTAGCGCCATTTTGGCTTTCTGAGCATCTTCCACCGACTGAAATGTTGATGCTTTAGTTAAGGATGAGCAACAAGCCAGCAGCCAATCATGAAAGAGAAATGGGTCCGGGAGGTTTAGCTCATCCATCATCCTTCAGGCTGCATCAGAAGCTAATCTGCTTCTGATGCAGCCTGAAAAACAGAACATAGGAAGAGTTTCAGACACAGTTGTATAAATTCAGATGTATAATTAAAAAAAAGGCTGATCTGTTGCCCAAACAGAGAAAACCCTCTGAAAATGGAAACCCAAATATGTCTCTGATAAATGCTGTAAACAAAGAGTTGTCTCATTCCGGCTGGTCATAAACAAGCACTTTACATCAGCTCCAAACCATTTGTGTAAAACTCAAGGTCAGCAACATTCCTCTCACAAAAATGTAGATAGAGAACCAGAACATTAGCTGGAGCTAACGAACCACAGCAGGATCGGATGAGCTCAGCAGTAAGGGGGGAAGCCCACACCAGAGCGGGGCAGAGGCGACAGCTGGCCGCTGCTGGAGGTAGAAGAAGGACAACGGTACCCAGCTGGGCTAACTAGACCAGCTCTTGACAACTTGGCTTGAAGGAACAGAGACTGGCAGTAAGGCATGGGCATGGGCAGTATTAAGACAGAATCCCAGTTTTCTTCTCCTGGATCAGGGCTCTGAAGCCTCACTTTATAGACTGAGCTGTGACATCTATGCTCCTTGGTTCTGTGCTCTGATTGAATGAATGAATGAATCAATGAACACATGGCCAGAACTTTCCATTTTCTTTCATCACATCTGGCTCTTAGTGTGAGTTTCTGGTGAAGCTAACGGACGATTCCTCAGCAGCGTTTTCAGATTCAGTCATTCATTGAATTCAGAAATGGGACCAATGTCAGCAGAAGCATTTCAGCAGACTGTTCTCATTCTCTAATCATTTTTCTTCTATCACAGCAATAAACAGATAAGGAACTGCTAATGTTGAAACATAGAGCTAGAGGAAGGATATTCCACCATGGCCTGGATGCCATTACGTTTGAAGATGACGATGCGCTGGACGTTTCCCACAGGATTACACACAGTGTACAACACATCCTGTAAGAAGAGCAAACACAGAAACTGAGCCGCTTCACAGACTTGAAGGTTATAGCATAATGCAGTGGTCTGCTGATGTCATCAGATCAGGCTTTCATTCATGTGGTTATGTAACCAAATAAACAGCTTTTTAACTCATCCAAATCAATCATCCAGGTCATTTTTAGAAGTAAAAATAGAAGTATACAGTTTTATTGCCTTATAGAAATGGATCAAAATAACAAAGAATAGAAATCTGATCGCTGGATGAATCACAGTAAGTAGCTGGAACAGAAAATATTGTTAAAAAGTTATGGCAGAGGGAATATTCAGAAACATAAACCCAACCTGGGATCCATCTTAGCAGAAGAGAACATTTAGAAAAATACACAACTTCAATAAAATTCCCTTTAATTTATCCCCAGAATGATAAAAATTGATTCTGATTCAGCTTCCATCAATCCCAGTAAACCAAAACAAACAGAACAGAAGGGTTTGCTTCAACAGCTCCACTCACAGTGCTGATGGGGTACAGCGGGTTCTGGATGGACAGCAGAAGGACCTTGTTTCTGCTGGACGGGTCGTCTGCGTTGGTGGGTCGGGTGATTCTCTGGCTGGTGGAGAAGTTAAAGAAGGCCTGCTGGTTGGCGATGAAGATGGGCTCGCTCCCTCCATGCCTCACGCAGCGTTCTGCACTCTCCAAGCTGTCAAACTCCACCAGAGCCTGCCTCTTGAAGGGCATCATCATCACATAGCTGAGGGGGGTGGGGGGGGTGGGGGGCAATCAGTTAATCTGACAGTCTGTTTGGCAAAGTTCTGAACTTTTATTAAACATTTAATGAAACCTTGTTTTGTCCTGTTATTAAAGGAAAAGTTTGGTAATATTCAAAACTCAAAATTCTGAAAGTACTTTAATTTGATATTTTTACATGTTGTTCAATAAATGAGTGTTTCAATGGTGAAGTCCTCTGGAAATCTTCAATAATTGTTGTTGATTGCAGATGTGACTAGTAGTTCCCATTGATTTAGCTTGTAAAGCGGGGAGAATGGCGCTAGGCTTACCGCACCGTGACGTCACTGCTGGAAGATGGCAGGAGGGAGGGGTTACTATATTTGGGCAAAAATGGCCGCTGCCAGACTCAGTGATCACAACTAAAATGATTGTTTTTCTTTTTTACTAAAGTGTCGACTGCTGGGCCGCTGACTGGACTGGACCAGCCTCGGATCTCGCAGCTCGGTTCTGCTGCACTGCAGTCGACCAAAATCTGGGTCGATTTTGAAATTATCCCCGGACAATTATTTTAGGTATGAGAAGTAGGACATGTCCGGGAAAAAGAGCACGTCTGGTCACCCTACCATATCAACTATTTGATGTTTCAGTGAGTGAGTGCTTGTTGCTATGATGCGTCTTTGATCAGCAGCTTCGCTCGTTGTAAACCAACCAATCAGAGCACAGCTCATCTAAATATCCATGATCATACCATAAAAGGAAGAATACCTGTCGTTTCATTAACCAGGCTTGAATTAGAGCTCATAGAACAGCAAATAGGCCATTTTCAGCCCAACCAATGTTACACACCCTATTCAGAGACCTTAAGGACCACATATCCTATAGAATCATTCTATTACCCCTTTAAATCACTGCAAACGTATTAGTTTTAGGTATAAATAACGACCCATTGATCATTCCTTGCTGGATGGACTTTCCCTTTAAGAAACTCTACAGAGATTATAACATTTAACTGAAAGTTTTCTAAAATGATAAAACAGAGAAGGCCCCAAAATGAATCCCTCCACTTTGATACAAATGCACCGGAAACCTGAAGCATGTTCATCCATTTAATCAGGCAGCAGGTCTTAAAGGAAAAGCATGAGCCGGCTATGAAACATGGTGGTGGCAGCATCATGGTTAGGGAATTGTTTCAGCCTCAAATGCTGCTTCGACCTGATGGGAATGTTTTCAACTCATATCAAACTGGTTTGCTCTACAGAAGAGACGTGTTGAACTGCCTGACTCAGAGGAGTGAGAAAGAGAAAAACCAATGAGACGTGGGGCCGATTTAGTCTCAGCCAAAGTTTATGGAATAACAGAAAATGTTATTCTATTTCATTCCTATTGTATGTTCATTCATCATATTAAGTAAAGTGGGCTAAGTGGAGAAGTAAAATGTTGGCATGCTAAAATTACAACGGACTGTTCAGTAAATAAAAACACATCATCAAAGCTAAATTCTGTCCAGCTACGAGAACAAAGAGACAAGCATTTAATAAAAACACATGACAAATGAAAGCGCACAAAGCTGACCTGCTAACCGGATACACATCAGATCATGAGAACATTTGCTGATCAGTAGAAGGAGCAAAAAGCTGGGAGGAGGATCTGCGAATGTCAACGTTTACCACCACAACGCCATTCATCAACCTGCCTCTGATTGCAGGGGCATGTTCTCAAGCTATAGTTGGTGAGTTTAAAAGAACAGAAATGTCTGCTACTATCATTTTGGCGGAGGAGGCGCTGTTACAATAATATATGCCAAAGTCTGCACACGTGTGAAGATTGAGCTGGACTTTTAGAAATGAGAGTAATAGAACAGTAACAGTAGGGAGTGTTTCTTCACAAACGGAACATTTACAGGCAGCAGAGAACCTTCAGGAGAGCCTAAGGATGTCTTTGAACATCCAATATCTAATCTAGTCTACAGATCAAAATGAAAGAAAATGGAAGTAAAGATGAAATACTACCAGATGTTGCCAAACTTTTCCAGTACTTCCACCAGGTCAGCCTCCACCACAGCATCACACAGTCCTCGGACATGGACAACGCACGATGGGGGGATGAGGTGACTGTCCCTTACAGAGTCCTGTAGAGAGCAAAGGATGGACATAAGGTGGACGGTATCTGGGATGATGAAGAACATCGTTATGATGGTATTATTACGCTAGCTTTGTCATATATTACACCAACATCACAGACAGATGGAAAACCTCCACCAGACTGACTTCTCTTTTCAAAATCTCAGATGTAATTGAATTAATTGGTTGTTACTTAGAAGAAAGTCTCTGTTTAGAAGTGTTTCACCAGTCCGAGGTGAAGTAAGGGAGCGTCTCTATAAAATGTTTACAGACAGACTCTACAGATATAACAAAGAACCGAAAAACAAAGAGGGAATCGTTCTTCTTTGAGGTCATCAGATAACGTTGGACAGGTTGACAGTCCCTCCTGTGACTGTAGCATCTGGACTCCACTCTATCAGGGCTGGCAGTGGGTTTGTTAACAACTTTACTGAAACAAACCCAAACATCAGAGGGGCAGTCTGTTCATCCGTATAAAATTCCGAACCAAATCTATCTCCATCTAGAACTGAATTCAACTAAATGTCCCAATGTCACCAAATAATCTACAAAGACTTAGAACTCCTACCAGTTCTTCATCACAGCCTTCCTTAAGAAAGCTCTGTCTGTCAAAAGATCCCATTTAACTGAAATAATGTCCCTTTTTATTCCTACAGACTCTATAACCCGCAACTTTGGACAAACTACCACTAGAACTTTGGACAAACTGCAACTGCAGAACTGCAGGCCCTTTTCAACCCTCCAGTTCATCAGTATGTCTATTGAAAAAGCTGTTTTAGCAGTTAAACACCTTCCTAACAATGACCAATTGCTTCAGTGTCTCACTACCATACAGACTGTCTTTGCCAAGGTGTTCAATGATATCTGTATGCATCCAAACGGTGGAAGAACCACAGCAGACAGGGTTAGTCCAGTATAAAGGACAGTAGGTAACTTTACATCAACAATCAAATATGATGTTCAGGAAGCTTTATCTTAGGGCTCCTCAATATCTACTATACCTACAGTCTCCTCTTGTAGCTATTGTAGTGGTTACTATAGCTACAGGCTCCTCTTGTAGCTATTGTAGTGGTAACTATAGCTGCAGTCTCCTCTTGTAGCTATTGTAGTGGTTACTATAGCTACAGGCTCCTCTTGTAGCTATTGTAGTGGTTACTATAGCTACAGTCTCCTCTTGTAGCTATTGTAGTGGTAACTATAGCTACAGGCTCCTCTTGTAGCTATTGTAGTGGTTACTATAGCTACAGGCTCCTCTTGTAGCTATTGTAGTGGTAACTATAGCTACAGTCTCCTCTTGTAGCTATTGTAGTGGTTACTATAGCTACAGGCTCCTCTTGTAGCTATTGTAGTGGTTACTATAGCTACAGTCTCCTCTTGTAGCTATTGTAGTGGTTACTATAGCTACAGGCTCCTCTTGTAGCTATTGTAGTGGTAACTATAGCTACAGTCTCCTCTTGTAGCTATTGTAGTGGTTACTATAGCTACAGGCTCCTCTTGTAGCTATTGTAGTGGTAACTATAGCTACAGGCTCCTCTTGTAGCTATTGTAGTGGTAACTATAGCTGCAGTCTCCTCTTGTAGCTATTGTAGTGGTTACTATAGCTGCAGTCTCCTCTTGTAGCTATTGTAGTGGTAACTATAGCTACAGGCTCCTCTTGTAGCTATTGTAGTGGTAACTATAGCTACAGGCTCCTCTTGTAGCTATTGTAGTGGTTACTATAGCTACAGGCTCCTCTTGTAGCTATTGTAGTGGTAACTATAGCTACAGGCTCCTCTTGTAGCTATTGTAGTGGTTACTATAGCTACAGTCTCCTCATGTAGCTATTGTAATGGTTTCTATAGCTACAGGCTCCTCTTGTAGCTATTGTAGTGGTTACTATAGCTACAGGCTCCTCTTGTAGCTATTGTAGTGGTTACTATAGCTACAGTCTCCTCTTGTAGCTATTGTAGTGGTAACTATAGCTACAGGCTCCTCTTGTAGCTATTGTAGTGGTAACTATAGCTACAGGCTCCTCTTGTAGCTATTGTAGTGGTTACTATAGCTACAGTCTCCTCTTGTAGCTATTGTAGTGGTTACTATAGCTACAGTCTCCTCTTGTAGCTATTGTAATGGTTTCTATAGCTACAGGCTCCTCTTGTAGCTATTGTAGTGGTAACTATAGCTACAGTCTCCTTTTGTAGCTATTGTAGTGGTTACTATAGCTACAGTCTCCTCTTGTAGCTATTGTAGTGGTTACTATAGCTACAGGCTCCTCTTGTAGCTATTGTAGTGGTAACTATAGCTGCAGTCTCCTCTTGTAGCTATTGTAGTGGTTACTATAGCTACAGGCTCCTCTTGTAGCTATTGTAGTGGTTACTATAGCTACAGTCTCCTCTTGTAGCTATTGTAGTGGTAACTATAGCTACAGGCTCCTCTTGTAGCTATTGTAGTGGTTACTATAGCTACAGGCTCCTCTTGTAGCTATTGTAGTGGTAACTATAGCTACAGTCTCCTCTTGTAGCTATTGTAGTGGTTACTATAGCTACAGGCTCCTCTTGTAGCTATTGTAGTGGTTACTATAGCTACAGTCTCCTCTTGTAGCTATTGTAGTGGTTACTATAGCTACAGGCTCCTCTTGTAGCTATTGTAGTGGTAACTATAGCTACAGTCTCCTCTTGTAGCTATTGTAGTGGTTACTATAGCTACAGGCTCCTCTTGTAGCTATTGTAGTGGTAACTATAGCTGCTGTCTCCTCTTGTAGCTATTGTAGTGGTTACTATAGCTGCAGTCTCCTCTTGTAGCTATTGTAGTGGTAACTATAGCTACAGGCTCCTCTTGTAGCTATTGTAGTGGTAACTATAGCTACAGGCTCCTCTTGTAGCTATTGTAGTGGTTACTATAGCTACAGGCTCCTCTTGTAGCTATTGTAGTGGTAACTATAGCTACAGGCTCCTCTTGTAGCTATTGTAGTGGTTACTATAGCTACAGTCTCCTCATGTAGCTATTGTAATGGTTTCTATAGCTACAGGCTCCTCTTGTAGCTATTGTAGTGGTTACTATAGCTACAGGCTCCTCTTGTAGCTATTGTAGTGGTTACTATAGCTACAGTCTCCTCTTGTAGCTATTGTAGTGGTAACTATAGCTACAGGCTCCTCTTGTAGCTATTGTAGTGGTAACTATAGCTACAGGCTCCTCTTGTAGCTATTGTAGTGGTAACTATAGCTACAGGCTCCTCTTGTAGCTATTGTAGTGGTTACTATAGCTACAGTCTCCTCTTGTAGCTATTGTAGTGGTTACTATAGCTACAGTCTCCTCTTGTAGCTATTGTAATGGTTTCTATAGCTACAGGCTCCTCTTGTAGCTATTGTAGTGGTAACTATAGCTACAGTCTCCTTTAGTAGCTATTGTAGTGGTTACTATAGCTACAGTCTCCTCTTGTAGCTATTGTAGTGGTTACTATAGCTACAGGCTCCTCTTGTAGCTATTGTAGTGGTAACTATAGCTACAGTCTCCTCTTGTAGCTATTGTAGTGGTTACTATAGCTACAGGCTACTCTTGTAGCTATTGTAGTGGTTACTATAGCTACAGTCTCCTCTTGTAGCTATTGTAGTGGCTACTATAGCTACAGGCTCCTCTTGTAGCTATTGTAGTGGTAACTATAGCTACAGTCTCCTCTTGTAGCTATTGTAGTGGTTACTATAGATACAGGCTCCTCTTGTAGCTATTGTAGTGGTTACTATAGCTACAGTCTCCTTTTGTAGCTATTGTAGTGGTTACTATAGCTACAGGCCCCTCTTGTAGCTATTGTAGTGGTTACTATAGCTACAGGCTCCTCTTGTAGCTATTGTAGTGGTAACTATAGCTACAGTCTCCTCTTGTAGCTATTGTAGTGGTTACTATAGCTACAGGCTCCTCTTGTAGCTATTGTAGTGGTTACTATAGCTACAGTCTCCTCTTGTAGCTATTGTAGTGGTTACTATAGCTACAGTCTCCTCTTGTAGCTATTGTAATGGTTTCTATAGCTACAGGCTCCTCTTGTAGCTATTGTAGTGGTAACTATAGCTACAGTCTCCTTTTGTAGCTATTGTAGTGGTTACTATAGCTACAGTCTCCTCTTGTAGCTATTGTAGTGGTTACTATAGCTACAGTCTCCTCTTGTAGCTATTGTAATGGTTTCTATAGCTACAGGCTCCTCTTGTAGCTATTGTAGTGGTAACTATAGCTACAGTCTCCTTTTGTAGCTATTGTAGTGGTTACTATAGCTACAGTCTCCTCTTGTAGCTATTGTAGTGGTAACTATAGCTACAGGCTCCTCTTGTAGCTATTGTAGTGGTTACTATAGCTACAGGCTCCTCTTGTAGCTATTGTAGTGGTAACTATAGCTACAGTCTCCTCTTGTAGCTATTGTAGTGGTTACTATAGCTACAGGCTACTCTTGTAGCTATTGTAGTGGTTACTATAGCTACAGTCTCCTCTTGTAGCTATTGTAGTGGCTACTATAGCTACAGGCTCCTCTTGTAGCTATTGTAGTGGTAACTATAGCTACAGTCTCCTCTTGTAGCTATTGTAGTGGTTACTATAGCTACAGGCTCCTCTTGTAGCTATTGTAGTGGTTACTATAGCTACAGTCTCCTTTTGTAGCTATTGTAGTGGTTACTATAGCTACAGGCCCCTCTTGTAGCTATTGTAGTGGTTACAATAGCTACAGGCTCCTCTTGTAGCTATTGTAGTGGTAACTATAGCTACAGTCTCCTCTTGTAGCTATTGTAGTGGTTACTATAGCTACAGGCTCCTCTTGTAGCTATTGTAGTGGTTACAAGAGACCAATTCTTTAGGTGAATTAAAACCTGACATTTCTCTTTATTAGTGGCTAAGGTGGGAATTAGCATAACTAACAGGCAGGGGGGGAGTTAACATTAGGCAATACTAGGCAGTTGCCTAGGGCCCCAAGTACCTGGGAGCCACATAAAGCTCTGTTTACATGTATGGTTAATACAACTATTCCTTATTTGTGCACATTAATAATGTT